TATTTGCCTTCCCAGAATATCGGATCGTTATAGATACGAAAACTTCCCTTATTTTTGAAACTTCCCCACTTCTCACATTCACCACTTATCCCATCATTCCCCCATTTTGAACAGTTAACCGAAAGATAAGCATTATCCCCAGGTAACCTTTCAAACGAGGCACAAGCTCTTGGCTGAATGTTAGGATCTTCAATAAAATATTTCACCACGCTGTGTCCATTGATGTCGTTTTTGGTCATAATATGAAGAGTCCTGCCTGTGGTTTTTTTATGGCAGTAGAACCGTATCTGCGTAAAACCCGTGAGTTGTTTTAACTTAAATATTGCAGACACATCAATACGTATGATTCCTTTGCTGTAATTACTTATCATTCTGTAGTTTTTCTCTCTGACCATTGGCGTTAATGACGTGGTGTTTTTGACTACAGTTTGTGCGATCAGAGTCCAGCCACCTGAAAAAAATTTGTGACACTGAAACTCAGAATAAAACTAGCCAGATATCAGCCGGCTCAGAGTGAAATACACCTCAGGCAGGAATTACGTACATATACGAAAGATAAGCGAGTTCTGATTGGCTACCCGAACGGGCAAGATGGACTCATCTTACCCGCTCACGAATGCCCGTTTTGTTCCCGTGCAGGAAAAAAAAAATTGCACTAAGCAGACGACTTACGAACTTGAGCGGAATTCATCATTAGAGTCAAGTTACTTTGATTGTAATTTCCGTTTTGGTTGTCGAAACGTCAGTCACTATTACAGTCAGCATTCCTTCTTAAGATTACTCAATCACACAACACAATCAATTGTTGCTCTTGCGTTCAAACCATTTCCTGTATTTCATTTATCGTACCTCCGTTTGTTTGCATATCACAGAAAACTGTAAAAGGGGCATCAGAGTTGGATGGAGCGATCCAATATTCTCCATTGGGAGAGTTCTCCTGCGAATCTTTTATATCCTTACAAGACAAACCAGGAAAGTCTTCTTCCTCGCCTATACGGCCTAATACAAAAATAAATTGGAGGAAAGTAAGAATGAAGCAATAAAATCCAATAAAAATTGCCCAATTATTTTATCCATCCTCATAGCTTTTCCGTTCAATTATCTTTAAAGGTGTAAACGTGGAAAAAAATCCGTGGAAAGGTTGTAAAAATACTGAATCAATAGGAGCGAAATCTTTGTTCATGAAAAGAAACATTTCGTATACGATGCAAAATGCTCACCTCTGATTAGCTCTTTTTCAAAAAAAACCCGTTTGTCAAAATTGAAACGACAGGTTTTAATCTGGAAGGATTTTTTGACAGTCCTTTACCAAATGGCCATGACCACTAATTTAAAATGGCGCAATATTTGTTTAGTGTCTGAGTTACTTTGACATCTAATTTTGTGGGAGACTTAAATTTCTGCAGCTAACTAGCTAGATAAATTATGGCCTTTTGATATAAAACTTAACGACTTGGTGAAAACATAATATTAAGATATGATATTTTTCGACTTACTTCTGAAGGGATTGTCCACATACACGTTTCCGTCTGATGAAACAAACCGGACTTCATTCCCGTTTTTAGTTCTGTTATTCAACTCACAAATTGATTTTTCTGCGTTGTAGTTAATACTTTGACACTTGACGTTACTTTTACACAATTGGAAACAACTCCAAATGTCTTTTTCGACCTGGCTTGTGATTGTGTGTCCCAGTAGTTTGTAATTCTCAATCGAGTTGGTTCTCGTGCATCCTTGAGCTAAAAAGCTGGCAAAAGATGCGAAAATCCATATGCTATGGAAATGGCAAAGTTTCAGTCGTCGAAGACAAATTTTTAGAGGCATCTCAACTAAAACGAACAAAGAAAAATATATTATTAAGAATCACGTTCAGTAATATTCAGTTTTGATATCAAAACAATGATGTGATTGGTTGTCCCTGTGATTGCCGGTCGTCAGTAGGACAACACTAATAAATCTTAAGAGAATCTGCCAATTGATTAAATGCAGCAAGGGCCGGATCTTAGTTCAGTTCAGAAAGCAAGCTACTTTGTAAAGGATTTCATGGTCAGAATTGTGGCGGGATCAGCGACATGATTCCGACGAAATTCTCGAAAGTCTAGCTAACTTAATGGGCCCAAAGCTATATTTTAAAGTCTAAATCTTAGGAATAGTAATGCAGGTCTTACCTCAAAAACAAATACGCTTTTTTTTTTTTTAAATTTCCTGATTGCTCCATTGTTTTACTTTCAAAGCATTCAATAAATCGATCATGAATTCTAACAGGAGCGACAAAAATCAACTTTTCGGAGCCAATAAATAATTCCCGACCCATTCATATGGAATAATTACCCCTGGGATTCAAGTCCGGACCCACGAAGATTCTCGTGATCAAGGGATTCCCTGTGAGCGGTAACTCAGTAACAAATATTCCGCCTTTTTATATACTTATGATCGACTCAGTAATGTGGTTTAGTGAATAGCTTTACGCAATTCATCTTAAACCAAGTTTTTTTAGTGGCAACCAAGCTTCGAAACAGGATCTTCTGATAGTTTTAATTTCCTTAACCAGTGATCAATAGATTTGGAGCCTTTTTCCTTGCACATTATCTGGCATAAACCGATTCGTTTCAATCAAAATTAAAACGGCACTAAACTTACCTCGTTGAAATATTCCACATCCTTCAGCACAACTATACCTCAAACAATTATGTCTTTCAGATGTTAAATCTTCCATTATGCAAATTTTTCATCAGATAATGTAATTCGTAATTTTTGTGTTGTCTTTTCTTATTTGCGAATTGTCAAAGCTCGGTGAAATAAATTTCAAATAAGATAACAGATTATTTTACAAAGCGCACCGATCTAAATAGAACTAATATGTTTGCCTTCTGTAATGTATTACGTAACATGGCAATCAACATTGATCCTTTTTCATCATGATTCGAATAATTCATCGAATAATGGCTAGAGCTTCAATCAGTTTAGGTCATTCGTTTGGCCCTCACTCGTTCATTCGTTAGTATAGCTCACCGTCTTGCGTTTGTTTTCGTCCCGTTTTTTTCTTCGTTCGTTGGATTAGTTAGCTGGGAAGTTTGGTTGTTAGGTTTGCTTGTTCCTCTTCTAGTGGATTTCCCTCTCGCGTCTGTTGCATGTGCTCTTTCATATACCTATTGCTTTATTTCGTCCGATCATCGACTGCTTACAAAGCGTCTGGCTGCTCATTACTCCAGTTACCCTGTGTGCTTTAGCAGCTCCAGCTGAATAGGTTGAACATCGGTTATAAGGGCAGACAATGTGTCTTGTTTCAACGCAAGTCACTGGGGTGATTTCATGCTTTCCCGTATTATCCTACAATGTCTATCACGTCAATTCAAGCAAACAAATGATAAAAACC